TCAAAGAATGAAAACAAAGTAAAATGCTTCCTCTGGAATGCAGCCATGCACTGAACGTAAACAAAGCTGCTGCATCAAAACCATGCTAGCAGTGGAGTTCCGCTAATAGCAGAACTAGCTTCTTATTTAGCAGATTAGCTTTTTGCTAACTTCTTTTAGCCTCTGCTAAATCTACCTGTAACATGACATGCTGTACGAGCAGTGCTGGACGTGTGTGATGATGGTGTGTGTTAGCGGTTAGCATCTTAGCTAAGATTGTTGTTTAGCTGATTAGTGGTTAGTGGTTAGTACAGTTTGGTTATCTGTGCCCACCACAGGCCGTAGGTAAACAAGCACAAATAATAGTTTGTATTTAGACACTAACTTTATTTTTTGTCATTCCAAAACAGAAAAGTGTGGAGATCAGGGTCTGTGTTTACGCACTGAACGTAAACAAAACTGTGCTGAATCCAAACCATGCTGGCAGGGGAGGGTGCAGTTCTGCTAATAGCATAACTAGCTTCTCATTTAGCAGATTAGCTATGTTGCTAACTTCCATTAGCCTCTGCTAAATTAGCTTCTGCTGATTTTACGTCCACTAAAAATATCCACAATCGTAACATTTTTATAAAGGGATGTGGTGGTCTTCACTCATCGTTCTGAAACCTACGAAGGAGCGTTAAGCCTGGTACCAGTCAGTTTCAGTCCTGAACGCAGGTGAAGTTAATGACCCTCAGGTGTAAAGGGAGGAGTTTTCAATTCAATTCGTTTATTCATTTCTTCAAAAAAAAAAACAAAATTATACAAAATAAAATGAAAGGCAGCAGAAGAGAAAATTTCTTATTTATGCCCCTTTTTTAATAAAAAAATCAAACAATGATAAACCAAATAACAAAACAAAAATTTAAATTCCTCAAACAGTAACTGATACAAATGAAACAATTTCATATTTCTTTAACATTTTTTCTTTGATTGTTTTCTTAAAGAAATTCAGTGATCCACTGCTTTTACACTCATCCTCCAGATCATTCCATAGTCTTATATGTTTTACAGAAGTGCTTCTGTCCTTGATATCTTCTGTCCTTCATGTCTTCTGTCCTTGATGTCTTCTGTCCTTGATGTCTTCTGTCCTTGATGTCTTCTGTCCTTGATGTCTTCTGTCCTTGATGTCTTCTGTCCTTCAAGTCTTCTGTCCTTCAAGTCTTCTGTCCTTGATGTCTTCTGTCCTTGATGTCTTCTGTCCTTGATGTCTTCTGTCCTTGATGTCTTCTGTCCTTGATGTCTTCTGTCCTTGATGTCTTCTGTCCTTGATGTCTTCTGTCCTTGATGTCTTCTGTCCTTGATGTCTTCTGTCCTTGATGTCTTCTGTCCTTGATGTCTTCTGTCCTTGATGTCTTCTGTCCTTCGTCTTCTGTCCTTCAACAAGTCTTCTGTCCTTCATGTCTTCTGTCCTTCAAGTTTAATCTGAATGTAAACTTATCTGTATAAACAGAGCAGATCACAGTTTAAAGGTTGGATCTTCTGCCTCTTTAACAAAATAAAAGTCCGGTTGCTTCATTTGAAGACTTGTAGGATCTCTGCACCATGAGGGTCTTAAAGTGTCTGTGACATGTATATCCTTCAGATACAGAAACTCCTAGAAAACATCTTTATGTTTAAGAATCTTGGCATGATACACATGATTTGACACATTCTGTCACATAACGGGCCTGTTTTCTTTTGCATTTGTCTCAGCCAAAGTGAAACAGGAAATGACATCAGAGGAATCCATTAATAAAATAAACTCTCTGGTCTTTGTTAATTAAAAAAGTATAATTTAAACTTTTAACTCCTCATCGTCTGTGTTTTTATAGAGACTCAAAATAATCTTAAACATCAGATTCTTCTCTAC